ATCCAACAAATACCAATCCCAAGAGTGCAGTCACCAGATGTGCGTGTTTGGGGATGGGATAAGCTTGGAAATTATTCGGTAAAATCAGGATACCAGGTCTGGAAGAAGAAGAAGAGTGAAGGTATGGGGGAACGATACATTCCAGTGGATTGGAAGAGACTCTGGCACCTTCAGATTCCACCGAAAGTCCGAGTTTTCCTATGGAAGTGGGGAAGCAACATTCTTCCTACAGGAGTCAATTTATCGAGACGAATTAGAGAGGCTTGTGATGAATGCCCTTTTTGTGGGCTGCGCGAAACCCAGGAACATATCCTAAGGGATTGCGATTGGGCAGGGAGGATTTGGCGACCAAGTGCGTTGGGTAATCTATTTGCAGAAGGTGTTGAGAAAACTAGTGAGGAATGGCTGTGTGACCTGATTGGTAAAGTTACAGATGATGAATTATGCTCGTTGGTAATGGCTCTATGGTTCTTATGGAAGGAGCGGAACAACCATTTATTTAATAACCCAAAACTGGAGGAAAGCGAAATCATCACCAGGGCGGCAGCTTACCTCGAGGAATTTCGGTCGGGTGTGGCGACTGAAGGGCCGGTGAGAACCACTCGAGTAAGGGTGAGATGGGAAAAGCCTGAGAGGAACCTCCTGAAGGCAAACGTCGATGCGGCAAAATTGAGGGAGGGAGGGACTGGATTAGGTCTGGTGGCCAGAGATGATGAGGGTCGACTGGTGCTGGCGGCGGTGCGAAGGACACGAATCGACTGGGAGCCGGAGATGGCGGAAGCTCAGGCATTTCTCTGGGCCCTCGACCTGCTGCAAACTCACTGTGCACGGCCAACCCTAATTGAGTCTGATTGCAAAACTCTGATTCAGAAGTTGGATCGAGAAGGGAACATCGAGACTGAGTTGGGGGTTATTGTGAAGGAGATTAGAGAGAGGTGTTTGGAGCGAGGGAATGTTTGGTGGCGATTTTGGGGAAGAGAAGGAAATGTTGCGGCTCATGAGATGGCAAGGGCGAAATGCAGATGGGAGGAAACTGAGCTATGGAAGGGGAGACCCCCAATTTTCATTCTCAACTTTCTAGAAAGGGACTGTAATGGTACTTTACCAGTTTGATTAATAATATTCAGATTTCTTTTCAAAAAAAAAAAAAAAAAAAAAAAAATTGAAGACAAACACGGAATAAGGGTTTGACGAAACGAATTAAAACGAGCGAGTTTCAAACATTTTCCCCGGCCGTTGAAACGAGTTTCCAACATTTTTGAATTGCATAGGTAAGTTGTTGACTAATGATTTTTACACATGATCAAGGAATTCAACTCGGCTATGATTCTCACAACCCATATGTTAGAACGTGCCCATAAATGTGGACATCATTGGATCGCACGCGGGCTTCATCTATTATGAGTTATGATATAGAGTATCATAGTTCAGTATTGGTTTAACTCATTGTCTTGATAGAGATATTTCACCAGGAGAATCTCGAGTATCGTATAGCCCAGTAGTACAATAGTCTTCATATATACGATGACTTATGTGCTTCCGGAGTATATCATACTCCAGATGTATTTCGTTCTACTTTGGCGAAACAGAATTGTCGATTATTATCTTTTATTAAATTGAATCTTCCTGTCTGATTCCAGAGAATCGTGTTTAGTGTTTATTTACCGAGGTTAAAGTATAATATGATACTGGAAACTCGATTTAGTTCATGTTCTAGTCATCTAGATAGAGCTTTCTCGCTAAAATTACTAAAACATATCGTATGCTACAAAAATACCCTAACAATGTGATCAATATTACCTAGTTAGCGATATGTAGATTTGTGAACACTAGTTTGTGGCTTGTTGCCAAACTCCACCTATATATGTTTGGATTTAATCAAGTAGCATTGCCCAAAAAGCCCAATTCCAAGGCAACAGAACCTTTCCACTCAAGCAATTAAATAACTTGTTAGCTACACCAAAGCATGCACATGCTACACCCTATTATAATTAACCTATACCTAGCTTGAAATCAACAACATAATCAATGATTAATCACCTAATTATCTTCTTAATCTAACAAAAGTAATGTCGAGTGATGTAGGCTAGATAGGGCAAGAAACACATGGCCATTGATCTCTACATGCAAGTCTTCCATTATAGCACTTGCAATGGATTTTCTTTGATGGACTTTAATTTCTCATTGCTTTGATTGATTAATGATCATATTATTATAATCGAGTTGTGTCATTAAATCACAATCTCAGCAGCTAATTGTGACTTGATGATGCCAAGCCGACATGCACTTTTCACCAACATGATCCATCATCATCGTGTGTCTTGTTGGCATCCAAAGCTATAGCTCTCTCTACATTGATGTAGCCAACGATTTAATCTAGAGGGTCTAAAGATTGGTCGAACCATTTTAAATGGTAAATTCTCTTAGTTGGAGGCATAGGATCTAGGTTTGAAACTTTCCTTTGCCATGGGAACTTGTTTTTTAGTGTACATTTAGTTCGTGACTTCGTCAATGACTCTCTAACTAGTTAGCTAAACGTAGGGATGACAGTTTCGATCTGATCCGTTTTACTAGATCTGTTTGGTCTGTTTTGGGGCGGACATGGGTACTCTCATTGACCCGACCTGCCCTAACCCGCCCCATTCTCGACCCGTTCTTGCCTAAATTACATGTAAATTTAGTCAAACTACTTAGGATTTTCCTTTTATTAAATCATATTTTAGCTATAATAAAGTTGTAAATTAGTGAAAACCTCAATTTCTCCTATATTTAACTACATTTATCATAATATTGTTTGGTTTCTTGGTCTTAAAATAAAAATAACACATATTTCTAATGTTTTTCGTATAAATTGCATACCCGTTGGGTCGACCTGCCCCGACCCGTGACCTGTGATAAATTATCCGATCTGGACCCGACCTAACCATAGAGCGGGTCTTGGTACCAAGAAACCGACCCTGGACCTGCCCCATTGTCATTTGAACCCAACTAGTTGAATCAATCAACACTTAACACAATGACGAAGTCAGAATTTAGATTGATAGAAGGTAAAAAAAAAAAAAAAAAAAAAACACAGTAACCTCGATCAAGGGAGAGGGTTAATAGCCTACCATAATGCCTTGTTAGCTTCAAGTGCTTAGCTTGCCCCTTTGTTCTTGGCTACTACTTGGTTAACTTCTATAAAAAAAAAAATTGTAACCTAAAAGCAAATATTGACAGGGGCTACATCCATCTCTTCTATTGCTTAGAAAAAATAAAGACAATCTTATGGATTTCTACAAGCATTACATTGTAGTTAAAGTGGTCGAGAAGTTGAATTCATCTAAAATGAATTTCAAATTTGAATCCAGTCTTGTCTTTCTTAGCTGAGACTCATTTGAATGCATTATATTTTTATCTGCATATACCGAAAATATATGAATTACCTCATCTCTGTTGAAAAAGTTGCAGACATTTTTTTATTTTCATTAGATCTTCTCTGGAAAAAAAAATAGATGAACAAATATCTACACATTTACAATACAACCTATTTACTAGGTAATCAAAGAACAAAGTCAAACCCAGAAAGAATTTACACAGTACACAAATCGGCATTAATAGACTACCAAACCGCTTAAGATTTAGGGGAAGGAATCGAAGCGTGTAAGTATCTGGGCTTATCCGTTTTCCTTCTATGAAGCCCAAGCCCAGTAGCCCATCTAAGGAAGCACCGCGTCCAAGTCTTGAATTTTTGGGCCTATTAGACCCTAATAATAATAATTCCTGCCTATTGTCTATTATGGTCCTTCTAAATTTGACGCTAGACTAAAATAATTGTCAGCCTAGATTTACACTTCATGTTGAACCACATAATTCATGCGACATAACTTAATCGGATTACAAACTGAATATAATCCTTCAGATGAAATGAGATTAAGGGCTGTAATGAATATATAGTTTATTGTTATATGTTGTTTAAAAAGTAACGGATTACCAGTTTACCACTATTCAATACAAAATTGAGAAGTTGATATGCCGACAGAGTTGATCGGCCATCGACCAAGTGGGGTTACTTGTCGCACACATTTTGATCCTTGTTCCGGCTATCTGCCCGTAAAAATAAGGGGATTCGCTTGTTCTAGCCATTGGTAAATAAGTTGGGGAAAAACAGCCAATATCAGTATCTTGATAAATGAACTAATTTCCCCCCCCCCCCCCCCCCCCCTCAAAAACAAACACAATCGTTTAATGATACACGATTAAGTACTTCGTGAAACCAGCGACGTCTTCGAAATGATAACACAGCTTAACCGAATAACATGAATACGAGTGGGGGGGAGTACATTTGACAACCTGAAATGATAGAAATTAAGGGATGAAAACTGAGGAAAGCAGACTATGATAGATAGGACTTAGGAGAGTGGGGAAAAATTATTCTAGGAGCAACTTGTGGGGATGGGCCACTTGCCTTTTTGCAGCTAAAAATTATCTATACGCAAGTGGCTCGACTCTCTGTCTCTGGCACATAGATGATAGATCACAACAAAAAAAAATTCCAAAGTCATTCAAGAATAAGGTTTACACAAAATGGTCCTCAAAGTTGCTGCCTTTGTTTACATTTGAACCCAACCGGCTAAAAAAAATGCTTCCACCCACCCACCCACCCACCTCCATCCAGCCGAAGTAATGAGTAATGACGCAGTTGCATAGTTTGAGCTCGACTCTCAACTTAGTGGAGCTCAGCTGAGGGATGAGTGAGTAGAGATGATTTAGCGACGAGAATATTGAGGGTGAACGGACACGACAAACAAACTAATAATCAAATGACCATTTCGTACAAGCATCACACTTAGCTGACCTTTTTCGCTAATTTCCGTCAGACTTTTCCATAAGCGTAGAGAGAGACAGAGCGAAAGAGGAGAGAGAGAGAGTCTCGTCGTCGACTTTATTCTTGTTGGCCAATACTCTCCAAATCCAAAACCGAAAACCGCCTCCTTTCTTTTTCTCCTCCTCCTCTCTCGCCCTAGAAAAAAAAAAAAAAACCACCTCGTGTCTTTCCTTTCCCTCTCTCTCGCCAATCCATGTATCCGCCGCCACCGTCGACGGCGACGAATTCCTCCTCCTCCAAGACACCGCCCGGGCTGACGCGGTACGGCTCCGCCCCCGGGTCGTTCCTCACCAAGGCGGTCGACTCGGTCATCGGCGCCGACGAGGGCCGTCGGTTCTACGCCGCCAATAATACCGGCAACAACAACAACAGCAAGTACTTCTCCGGCGGAGGCGAGTCGTTCTCGTCTTCCCAGCTGACCTCCGAGTCAGGCTGCCGAGTCAACTCGTCCGTCGACCATAAATCACCCGGTGGTGGTGATCGGGTCAAGAGATCCGACGTATCGAACGCCATGGCTCCGCCGCCGTCGTTGCTGCGGCAGAAGAGCTCTCCCGCCGGGTTCCTCTCCAATCTCGTTTCCGAAAGCGGTAAGTTACCTGCTCCCATTTTTTGCACTTCTCATCACTTAACTTTCACTACAACTTACAAATTGGTCCACCTGCCTTGTGAATCTAACATGGAACCCCGATCGTTCTAGGTCGATGGCTCGTATACGTATCATAGGTTGAACTCGCACTACAAGAAAACTCACTTTCAGCGACGAAATAAGTCGTCGCTAAAAGGCCAAAAAGTCGTCGCAAAAGGGATCACCGACGAAAAATGGCGTCGCAAAAGATGGTTAAGAGTCGTCGCGTATACAGCGTCGCAGAAAGATCTGCGACGGAAATATCTTGCTTCGTCGCGAAAGAACATAGTCGTCGCTGAAAATTTGATACTTCAGCAACGAAAACGTCGTCGCCGAAGATACATCTTGCGACGACTCTATGCCGTTGCAGAAAGGGAACTTTTTTGCGACGAAATGGTCGTCGCAGAAATTTACATTTCCCGACGGAGTACACCGTCGCAGTAGGTTTCGGATAATCTGCGACGATGGATTTCATCGCCATTACCATTCGTTCCAGCGACGAATATACTTTGTTGTCGCGAAATAGTCGTATCTGCGATGGGCGGTTTCGTTGCAGATTGCATCTTTCTGCGACGGGTGAGTTCATTGCAGATTGTAAAACCTTTCTGCGACGATGATTGGTCGTTGCTAATGTTAATGCATGTTTTTGCAATGAAATTATCCGTCGCTGAAACTAAAAAAAAATTCTCCAGGTTTTTCCTGAATTATTTCCTGCTTCAGTTTTACTTATAGAGCACAATAAAGGACTCTGCTGTGTAAAATAAGCACCATTCAAGTCATTCTTTCATAGTACACTATATATATATATATACTTGCCCAAATATGGCACTCCAACACAGATTCATACATCACCTACTACTAGCTAGTTTGCATCTCATTCACCAATAAAACATAAACATTGACAGTATGATGAGTAGCTCTAAATACATATTACTGTGCATATCATAACATCAATGAAGCACTACTGGTTCATGCTCACAAATCAATATCATTGTCCATGGCCAAAATGTCAATGCTAGTTGATAACCTGCATAAACATTTCAATCAACAAAAAGTGTCAAGTTATTATAATAGCTTAGGTATATGAAAACAACATTCAAAAAGTTAAAAATACAATTAAGAGAGATTCCCTTACCAAAATTCTAGGTTAGGTTAGCTAAGCCTTTCTCCTTAAGCTATTGTGCACCCAAAATACTAAACACATGTACGATAATCTGCATTAAAACCCAATCAAGAAAGGCACGGTTACTACATCAATAGCTTGGGGCACATTGATCCCAAAAGATAATCAAAATGCATGTTATGATTTCATAATACTACTCATGCTCAAGCACTGAAACAACAATTTATTCAACCTTTGCCTCCTATTTTTGGCAGCCCATGGGAAACCCAAAATGATTGAACTATGACAGGAACAAAATTTGCAGCTTTAGGGGAATTCAAAATGATTTGAGATAAGATTTAAGAAATTACCAGTTTAGCTAAACGATGCCTTTACCCTTAAGGATGGCAATGACACTCCTAAACTCTTCTAGTTGTTCTCCTGTACTGGCCAACTTTTCCTTAGTAATTGCAAGTTGTTGATCTGAGTCGGCTTGTTTTTCATTCAGTTGAGACACAAGATCCTCGAGATTTGCACACCGATCTTGTAGCTGTTTTTTGTCCTCAAATAGTTGTGCATAATCAACCTCTACACGATCTCTTTTTCTAGATGGGGGTGCTTGACCATAACCAAGACCATGACAGTACCCCGAGCTGTAACCCAAATTTATGAAAAGCCTCATCGGGAGATATGGGATTCTCACTATCTCGAGTAGTCTCCACAAGTTCCAGCATTTTTTTCCTGCACAAATCATACGAGGCAATGAACACCTTACCCTTAGAAGTGACAAAAATAGATATGGAATAATAGTTGGATTAATCCGAGTCAACCCTCTCGTAATAGAGGTAAAAAATTTATATAATATATATATATATATATATATATATATATATTATAAGATAGGTAAGGGCAGTAGGTAGAGGAATGAAATATGGACAGTAGCTTTGTCCCACCTTATTAGTGCTAACATTAAAGTATTTGGAAAATCCTACACTGGCATGCAAAGGTTCAAAGTTTCTTTTAAAATGGTGGAAGTCCAGCCCAAAACCAACATAGAGAACAGAAACAAAAGAAAAAAGAGATTCATTACAAAACCAGCTAGGTATCAACAGCTGCTCAGAAAAAACCAGCATTGACAGCAGAGAAAACAAAGAAACAAAGCCTCCAACATGAACACAAAACAAGACGACAATGAACAAACTGACCAACTGCAAACTTACGTATTGTTCTTTTTTATTTGGGTTTCTCCATTCTTCAGTGCCCTTGGTATCCTGCCACTTGAAGAATTCCATCTTCGACAACTCACCACTCTCTTGTTGTGCTTTCTATTTAGAAGATATAAGAACCCCAAAATGAATACAAGTTAGCAATTGATCATGGGACAAAACTATATATTGTAATACTAAATGCGTAGGTCACCTTCTCTTGAAACATGCAAACATAGGCTGCACTTCCTTGAGTGTTCAGATTTTGCACATGAGTTCGATTTTCCGCATTCGTAACAGCAATTTCCTATGAAATACTTATGTTAGAAGTGAATAATTCCATCTATGTGGCATTACCATTCGAAATTGCAAGTATAAGAAGCATACCTGCACTTTCTCGGAGTCCCAATGATCACACAAGTTTTTCCATATATCAGCACTTAAATAACTAGGTTTGTTTTGTCTAGCCATTTGCTTATTGACAGTATAGTAGTCAGCCTTTGTTCTGCTCCTTCTTTCCCTAACACTTTTCAGAAAGTGGCCCCAAAGCTTTTCCATCTCCACTGGGTTATCTCTTATATTTCCCATATCCAATTTCAGCTAGAATAAGATAAATGCATATGTTAAATGAGATAGTGAGAATGAAATCAAGTAAGAAGGTATAATTATATCAAATACCTGTAACTTCAATATGACCTCTTCCAAAAGATTAGCCTTGTCTTTCTTTTCAATGGGCCAGTAATACAAATGAGCAATTAGGCCCAGTGAGCTGGCCAAATCATTACTTTGTTTCCTTATCAGTGGTCGACCTAAGAATGCATCGATCTGGACTTCTGGTTTCTTTCCAGCCTTTTCAGTTCGCTTATGCAGACTAACCCCTCGTGTGGGTCCTCTACCTTGCTTCTTTTGAGTAACCTCGTCACCTTGGCATTCCAATTGAAAAGAAAAGAAGTTATAAATGAACCCTTATTTAAAAGTTAAGTGACTTTGTTACTAACAATCAAAGAACTTACTTGCATTAGTTCCTTGATGGATTTGTTCTTCAAAGGCTTCCTCAGAAGGTTCAGAGATATTTGTATTTGATGCTTCAGCATGGCTAGGAGCACTAGACGAAGTAGGCATCGTACTTGTTGGTCCCATCGATGGTTGTTCTTCACTTGCAACAACCACCTCCTCCTGCATGTTAATGCAAGACTGCAGTAGTCTCTGATGGCGAGATGTTGGGTTTCCACTATTATGGAAAGTACCACATGTCCCCTTTAGTCTTGCTACAAGAATCAATACAAAAATATGAATGAAAAATCCATGTAAGAAGAACTTTTAATTCACGAGGGATTACCAAACATTAAGTCAATAATGATCTAACTCACCTTGGACCAAACTTGGAGAAGATGTAGTCTGTTTTGGTGGTTGTGGAGCATTTGATATAGAGCTGGGCTTGACAACATTGCCCACAGTTACCTGCTGTCCATTTTTTGCTTTGGACAAACAAGGTGTCATTGGTTGACCTGAAAACAAGACATGCCACAAATAGTATAACCAAACGATATTAGGACAATTTAAAATAATAATCAACCATTCTAAGTTGTATGGACTGTGGACACACAAACAAGGTGCCATATGTAGTAATGGAAGCAAATGAGAAAGCAAATAACTCCCTAAGAATCCAATTTATGTTTTCATAAAAGGTTGAACGTTTAAACTCACCTTGGATTGAACTTGAAGAAGTCATAGTATGTTTTGGTGGTTGTGGGGCATTTGATACAGAGTTGGGCTTCAAAACATTTCCCATAGTTGCCTGCTGCCCATTCTTTGTTTTGGACAAACAAGGTTTCATTGGTTGACCTAAACACGAGACATATGCCACAAGTAGTATAAACAAGCAAGATTAGGATAATTTAAAATAATAATCAATCATTCTAAGTTGTATGGACTCTAGGACACACAAACAAGATTTCATCAGTAGTAATAGAAGCAAATGAGAAAGAAAATAACTCTCTAAGACTTCAATTTATGTTTTCATTAAGGGTTGCATGTTCTAACTCACCTTGGATTGAACTTGAAGAAGTTGTAGTCTTTTTTGGTGGTACTGGGGCATTTGATACAGAGTTGGACTTGAAAAGATTGCCCATAGTTGCCTGCTGCCCATTCTTTGCTTTGGACAAACAAGGTGCCATTGGTTGTCCTGAACATGGGAAATATGTCATAAGTAGTATAACCAAGAGATATTAAGATAATTTTAAAAATAATCAACCATACTAAGTTGCATGGACTCTGGGACACAAAAATTAAGAGTATAAAACCCTAGCAGGTCATTATCATAAATACTAGTCAACGTAAAATTGAAGACAACAATGTCCAACGTCTACAGCAGCAATTTGTTCATAAATTTTTCTGTTAATATTCAATCTCCATCTTTAGAGCTATGTGACACCGAGTCCATCTCTGCTTCCTCATTTGACTGGTTAGAATATTGCTCTTCTTCAACCCCTTGATGCAAGACTGCGAACTGAACTGCATCATCACTTGAATTGTCAGAATCTTGATCTTCCTCAACCCCTTGATCCAATTCATCTCTCTTGTTTCCTTCCACAACCACCTGATCAATGACCTCAGCTACAACACCCGCTCTATGCAATGATCTTTCAACATCACCATCAGCATTCACAACTGTAGAAGCTTCATCTGTTAGCTCATCATCTTGATATGCAACATCGTCGTTTACTATATCATCATCGTCCAAAATATCAACACTCTCAATGTCTCCACTAAATATGTGACGATGGTTCAATCGTTGGACAACCCGCCAATTTGACCCCAGCTTCGGATCATTGATGTAAAATATTTGTTTAGCTTGAGTAGCTAAAATGTAAGGATCACTCGAATACCATAGGCGATCCACTTTAATACTTGTAATTGCACCATCTTTCATAATCCTTGACTTTCTCCTATCCACATCAAACCATTCACATTTGAAGAGGATAACTTGTTTATCTCTAACATAATCAAGCCGAACAATATCCACAAGAACCCCGTAGAAGTCAATAACTTCATCAAGATGGTTCCCCTCCACAACTATGCCACTATTTTGCGTCTTAAGACGACTCTCTCGCTCCCTCGTGTGAAACCTAACCCCATTGATAATGCAGCCCGTATACTTCACAACACCATTTGAAGGGCGGCAAGATAGTGCATGCAATGCCAACATTTTTTCATCATCTCGGTTGGAACACAATGCATTTGTTATCTACAAATGAACAAAAACAAGTGAATTGATAACCACTTCGCGGAAATATTAACTCACTTCCCATTTAACATTAGCATTAGCTCAC